AGGAGATCGGGCTGAAACTATAGCTACAAGCTATCCAAGGATGGTACTATAGAATGTCACCTCAAGGTAGGCCTAGTGGCGTCATCTCTTGGTTAGGCCGGAAACTTATCAATCCACCCTCGTAGTTACAAAATAATAATCACTTGGACTCGGTTGAAAAATTGATATTACAGATGGACAGTTCAGTTTTATTTATACCGATTGTGAAACAGTGAACCTTGGGGATAGAGAATCTCAAAGTATAATGCAATGCTAAAATCTGAATTTTCACGTACTGTATGTGTAGATGTATAGATTGTCAGGCTTTAAAGAATAATTACGATCATGTTCAAAAGGTACCACAATTGTCTATGTAGTTTTTGCAAGAACTTTTGTAGCTTCTAAAATAAACTTTCTCTAAAAATTTACATGTATGACTTCAATATTTCTTTTGCCTTCACTACTTTTAATTTCACACTTATCATAACGCTAAAAGGAAAAGCACAATAAAATGGAAACGAACCCATCGATACAGTGACCTCCAATGTTTTGCAAAGCTACTGTTTCATTTGTTATTAAATATTTCTTAACAAAGTGAATATTCACCTTTTTTTACCAATGTTTACAGTTCAGTTGATTTCATGATAAGTAATCGAAATTTAGTTTCCAACGTTTTATTGTGAATTAGCTTTGACCAAAAACTAAAATAAATACAGGTTGGATCACTTTCGACAACCTTCTGTTCATGTCTGTAAAGTTCAGTCTTTCGGAGATCATCAGAGATCCAGAAAAAAAATCATTTGTATCTTAATAGGATTTAAATAACACTATGACTTTAGAAAGGGAGTTATTTCAATATTTCAGGCGTATAAGCTACGATCAAAAAAATAGAAGTTGGTCATCCACATAAATTCTATAATTAAATTCAACAACAGAAATGAGTTGCACTTTAAGGATCAATAAAATCAACTAATACATAACACATTCTTAGCATGTAATCCCTATAATCTGCATAGTATCTGCACTTCTTAAATGGCAATACATCTTGATGATTCGAAACAGAACTATGTATATCAATTAATTAAAATATAACGGCATGGTAATCAGAAACATTAAATTTAATTACCCATTGTTAATAAAAGGAGATTCAATGCCAAAATGTATAAAAATAGATTTTGTCTGTAAAGGAGTAGACAGACGTACCTGCAGGAAGGTGTTTATTCTTCTAATTTCGTTGAACTGTTACCTAATTAAAGGATTAATGTACTAATCTAAGGACGATCTCATTTAAAGGAACTACAAATAATGACGAGCGAATATTCTAGATAAGAAGTAAGTAGGTACAATAAAAATTGTAAACATAATTCACTTATACATTAACCTCTCGTGAAATTGGGTTTTCTAAATGTTTTGCAGAAACTACTACTTCAATTTTAAACTATGTAAATAAGATGATGATGAAAAACTTGTAGTCAGGCACATGTGTCAACTGTTTTCTTTTCTTATGTAATCAGATAACTTATTAATAGGATGAATTAATAAAAATTACATTAATTCCTTTCATCAATTAGTGTTAAAATTCACATTATAAAATATCTAAACAAAACTTGTAATTAAATTATTTTCTATGAATTAATTCAGGCATATTATTTGTTCTATATAGTTCTCGACGTTCAGGAGATATAAGTCACCTTATAAGATATTATAAGGACAAATTTCAGATTAGCATGCCTGACCGACCTTGTTTAACAAAGATATGAGTTTTAGTTAAAAACGATATAATTTTTATTTTAATCGTAGTCGTGAATTATTACTTGTAATAAGAAGACATAAAATACAGCTCCCGTAAAAACTCTCAACGTGTTTGATTTTTCCCCATAATCTAACAATTAGCAATTTTATGCTATAGTTTTATTTCACTTTTTTGCTCATTAGTTACATATTTTACTAATAATAAAAAAAATAAAAATGAACTAATTTCAACATGTGTTAGTACTACTTCTTGTCATTAAATAAAACAAGAAACAATTTTTCTTTCCGACGCTTTTCAACTTTTTGTATAAAGTATTTTAATTCCTAAGATATAAGTTGGTTTGGAAAGAACTTTGAACTTTTATATTTACCAATTCAAGCAGAACAAACGAAATTTGAAGCACGAACGACTTCACGACTGAGCCAAAACCGCGAACTCTAATAAAGCGTTTGTAAATAGAGAATAGTTGCAAATTCGCGCAAATTATGAAGTAGCATTTTTATCGCAATAATACTAAACAAAGAGCATTCCGAATTCCTGTTACAGTGTAATGAGGGTATGACTTACCTGTTTTTATTTTTGTTAAACCACAACCGACGTTTCCCCTCAAATACAAAGCTTCATCATGAATAGGGTGTTATTTCTTGAGAAAATTTCTACTTTATTCTGTCGATTCAATGCGCATCTAATACTGGAGCAATTACAAATTAAGTGCTACACTTTTATCGACAGATTAGAGAGCATTTTTTGTTGCTTAATGGAGCTGTTTAGGCAGCACCGTATGATTTTATAATTTTAATAATTCTCTAACAGTAACCAATAATGAAAAGATTATGGTTTTGTTTTCAAGCAATAATATTAAAATATATTAAATCACATTTTCCAGGAGACCTTTTACCGCCTTTGCAAAATTGAAAATCTTCAGTTTATTATAATTAGAGCTTGAAGTATTGTAAGTCGCAGTTTTCAAAATTCGGTCATAAGATTCAGATAGTATTATCTCTAATGATGAGTAAAACAAAATTACATAGCTCTTCACTCTATCACATGCTTGATGTTTATTGTGATACTTCAATAATAAGTACTAGGCATTGTTTAATGATTTTAGTCATAACATTTATGATGATAAAATAGAAGGTAATAAGAATATTCGTAGACAAATATCGAAGATTATTTGTAAGAGTACGGATGAGATCTTCATTCAAAAATTATTAAAAGAATTTTAAATCTTATATGTTCATTTTTTACTATCAAATATTAAGTGGCAGTCCGCCATACATCTGTAGGTATTTGCTACTATTTGTAAAATTTCGAAATGTTTTACAAGATCGTTATGAATATTAAGGATATCTATGCCACAGTTCATGCATTACGCTAAGCACGTATATCAATTAAATAAAGAACATATTAAAGTCTTGGTCAACAGCTTAGTGAAACTACCAAATGTGATGACATTTAGTCATAGTATAGGTACGTATTATTTGCACTACATATGATGTGCTGAAACTGCAGTTCACATCTCATTTTTCACATGATTAGGTCCACACGTTTCGATAACAATTAAGACTGGCACCTTCAATTGACACTACGAAGTTATTTAATTCTACATTCTATGATTTAGTTTTACTCCTACTTTTAAATAAATTTTTCCCTTATTTCGGAGACTTTTTTCATTTTAACGTTAAGGCTGAAAGCTTTTCAGTTCTATTCGCAGAAGCAATAAAGCGTCAGGATAACTGATGATGATGATGATCCTAAATGCCTTTGGGTTTGTTATTTCAATTTTAATTTTTTCTAAAAAAACTAAATGAATTTTGTTTTTCTTGGCTTTATTTTGGTAAGATGTTTTTAATTACCCCGCTTTCCTTAAGGTCCGAAACTCTTAATTCTTACTTTCCTTTGTAAACGAGTACATATGGATATGTACTACATTAAAATTAACAAAACTAATCTTTGGAATATTGTAATCTTCTTGTATAGATACGAATATCTTTTCTAAAACAACCCACAGAATAATTATAGTTGTTCATATTAATTTTAGATATGGTTTCCTCAAGTCTTCTATCATTGTTGGTAATGGCTACCTTCATAGAGCTCAACGGTTCAGCAAACATCCTGATGGTAACAATGGGTGGTACTAAATCGCATAAAATTCCGTTTTGGGCACTAGCCAAAGGACTTACAACCAGAGGCCACAATATAACTTTTATTAGCGCTTTTCCTTCAGATTTTGGTATTGTCGGGATGGAGGAAATAACTCCAACAGGATTAGTATTCTACGTCCGGAACTTCACCGATTGGGACCTCCTTGGTGCCAGAATGAGAGGAGAAGAACCAGTTCATCCACTGGATATGCTCCGATATGGATATGAGGTAACCCATTGAGGTTCTTATTTATTAAAGTATTCATGAAACGATTAAATGAAAAAACAACGACAACCCTATAATGACAGAATATTATTTAGTGTTTTAGATAATTTCTTGTAATAATGTAGACAGGTGACCTAATTTCTAGATTTTTACAAATGTTTTGTTTCGCAGGCTTGTGAAGCGTTGTTATCCGATTCGGAGACTCAAGAATTTCTATATTCGAAACAAAAGTTCGACCTGATTATTCTGGATGGAGCTTATCCAGAATGCGCCCTTGGATTCGTGCACTTCTTCAAAGCTCCTTTCATGTACATAAACACCGTAGGATTTTATACAGGAAGTTTATCGATTGCGGGAAATCCTACACCGTATTCAGTGACACCTTTCCTAGCGCGACCGTTCACAGATTCGATGAATTTGTTACAAAGGACTTCGAACGCTGTATGGCATTTGGCTGCGCAGGCAATGCACATGTACATGGTGAAATATAATCTACAAAAAACGTTAAGAAGATATTTCGGATCGGAAGTGCCACCGATATACGATATGGCGAGAAATGTCAGTTTTATTCTCCAGAACGCATATGCAACTGTTACATATCCACGGCCTTATCTTCCAAATGTAGCCGAAATTGCTTGCATTCACTGCAAACCATCAAAACCACTACCAAAGGTATTACTTGAATTGTAGCCAACTGATTTGTTTAAATACAGTAAAAAGTACCAAGAAAATCTTTTCAAAAAAACATTTAGATTGGTGCATCTTTAAACAGAAATCTAAAGCTTTACATGTACCTTTAAAAATATTCATTTAATAATAATAGTTTGGAATTTCGAAAGAATTAAATAATTGTCTATTGATAGTACACCACCATTTATAGGATTTTATATAAAGTTAGTGTTAGTGACAACATGTCATTGATTCGATGAGTACAGAAAACTCTATACAAATGTATGTTTGTAAATACTGAAGGTCCTGAGTATAAGTTGTCCGATGAACTCTGAGCTTTATTTCCTGCAAATTGATTAAGGAGCACCTGACATTTGGTTTCAAGGAAAAATAAAAAGAAGTTTAATTCCTTAGTAAAAGATTTGTTTAAAAGAAAACACCTTTTCATTTCATATTTTACTTACTGCGTGACCTTTATCTGAATTAGTTTACTGACCTATAGTATTTTTGGTGTTATGTCAATAAATTATTCATTTCTTAACCATACTGTAAACATGTTCTATTAACCGTTTAACAGAAATGCGCAAACACTTAACAGTTGTTTAGAAAAATTGATTTTTTCTATTTAGCAGATGTCTTTTGAAATATTGCATAATTAGTGGCCGTCACGTCACATCACATAGTTTATTGAAGAGAATAACTTCATGTGGAATAAGAATTTATATTTATAAGCAGGAATAACAGTCAAAAGTCCTTTTTCAATTTATTACCACCCCTTCGCGGTTTTCTTTACACTCATTCATAAAGAGCACAACAATGTAAAGTCTATTTAATAAAATAAGAAAAACAGATTACTACAGAAACTAATGGCACCATGTTTTCAGCTACATCTTTTATATACCTACCATAAAAGTAAATATTTATTTATTCGATAAAGTTAACAAACGCTTTGATACTTCGGTGACATCAATCTAATGAACGCTAATGAAATATGAGAGGTCAGACGTTACACATTTAGATGCTGCAGAACGAGTCCAACGTCAATTTTAGAAAAAACCTTTAGGGTTGCCAGATTATATATCTAATTATTTCTTGAGGATATAATTAAATGCAAAAGTAAATTAATTTTGAACTGAGTTTCAAAAAATTTTTAAGAAGTCACACTGAAGCAGCTTTTATGATTTCATATGACTTCTATGTCTAATTGGATCTCACTAATTAGAGAAACCTTCTTTAGTTCAATTAATGAATTATAACTGTAGATTGGTTAATAAATAATAGTTAAATCGGCTGAGTTACGAAATTTTATGCAATATTAAAGTAGTAAAATTAATTAAGTTGAATTACTATTAAAGAATTGCAGTTTGTGTTCTTAAATGATACGTTATTGCAAGAATTTTAAGGAGCTTTTTAATTTATGTGCTCTCTTTACTTTTTAGGATTTAGAGAAATTTGTGAGCGGTAGTGGTGATGCCGGGTTCATTTACGTCAGCATGGGATCTTCAGTAAGAACTGCAAATATGCCAGAGTACCTCCGAAGAATGCTCCTGAGAGTATTCAGGGAACTCCCGCAAAGGGTTCTATGGAAATGGGAATCAGATGACAACATGCCCGATTTGCCGGCCAATGTGAAACTAAGAAGATGGCTTCCACAACAGGATTTATTAGGTAAATTGTGAACAATAATTGCTAAAGTCTTGTCACATAAAACCTACAAGAAATAATGCTTATTTGTACGAATCTTGTTAGTTGAAGAAAAGCTTAAGTATTTTTGAAAACATTATGGTAGGAGCAAAAATGTACGCGAAATTAGAACTTTGCTTATAATTTTAACTGTTTTTCTATGCAATAAGAATTGTTTTGCCACTTTGTGGTTTGTTCAAAAGTTTCAGAATTATGTACCTATACAGTTCTAGTTGGAATATTACTACTTATATTTAGTTTTTGATTTAAAGGTTCTTTTTTCTGGATGATGAGCTGAATACTATTTCCCATTTGACATAGCACAGCATTTTAATTTATATATAGTCTTAATGAGTAATAAAAATTGATTTAACCCTCGTTGACACGCATGTACCTAAATACGTTAGATTTAACACAAACAAGCCACCAATACAGCCTTCATTTACCTTTCAAACTGATTTATCTTTTTTTTAAACATTTTACAAATGGCACTGTACGTATTCAAGTTTCCCTTCCAACCCTTATTCTACTCTCCACTATCTTTTCTTTTCGGTCCTCAATCTCCGCCCCTATAAATAGGAGGAAATTTTAAATTTTAGAACCAGTCTCGCGTTGATAATGCCCACGTTTGAAGTGGGCGAAACACGTGTCCGCACAGTAAAATTGTGTTAGTGATGATAATTAGGGTGACTCTCCTATTTTATTTATTTTTCAAATTATCTTTGACGGCACAGATATAGGTCTGAACAGGTTTGTATTGTCAGTGGTAAGGTTAGGTACGGTTATTCAATCGTTTAGGTTAGGTTTGCACAGGTGTCCTGCTGATGACCGGATACTCTATTTCTCAGTCTGGGAAATATTGGAGCAATCAATAGTTATATTACGCTATTTTTAATGTACGTTTCATTTTACTGATTGCCTTACCCATATAAGATGATTTGTTAAACCAAAGAAAGCGTGTCATGGAGGGTTAAGATAAATGACGCTGTTTTTAATGAAATTTTATGATGTTTTGTTTTAGGACACAAAAAAATCCGCGCTTTCATTACCCACGGCGGCCTTTTAAGCATGTTCGAAACGGTGTACCATGGAGTACCGATTGTCAGTTTACCAGTGTTCTGCGATCACGATTCTAATGCAGCAAAAGCAGAAGTGGATGGATACGCTTTGAAACTTGACTTTTCGTCCCTCACGGCGGAAAAACTCCTAGGCGCTATTAATAAAGTAATTTACGATCCCAAGTATAAAGATGAAGTGAAGAGAAGACAAATGCTCCTGCGAGATCAGAAGGAAACACCACTCGAAAGGAGTATATTTTGGACTGAGTATGTGCTGAGACACAGGGGTGCAAAACACTTACAGTCTCCCGCGAGAAACTTGAGCGTTATCGAGTACTATATGATTGACGTCATTTGTTTGTTAGTGTTGAGTGCGATACTAATGTGGTATCTGATGAAAATTGCCGCAAAAATTATGTACAGAATAGTTGTGACAGGCAGTTGTGGACATAGAATGTACGATAAAGTGATCAAGATCGAGTGATATGCTGCTTTAATTTAAGTCTGTTTGATTTTATTCTTCCGTGGTGCGTTTCACTTAACTTGAATCGTTCCTTATTGTGCACACTTGTTGATATTGTGGGTGATATAGAAAATAAAAATTGACTAGTTAATAGTACTTGTATTATTGAATTATTGAAAATCAAATGCTGTACCCCTTGCACTTTCTCAGCATTTCTGGGAAAACTAGAAACCTTCATATAAATTTTAATTATATGACTGAAACACATAAACGAATAAAATAAAAAAACATTGAGTAGATTATTAAACCCTTGTTTTATTATTATTATTTCTTTTGTTTCATCTACAGGTACATAAGTACACATAACACTGCAAAATTTGTACAAAAAGTTTTCGATGTTTTACTTTCTCTAACTCTTTTGCCTATTCTGCTTAAGAAAATCTAACAAAGTGTGATCAGTATCTACTAATTCATAAATCAGGTACTTCAATAATCAGTATTTGTTATTGGATCCGTTCACGTAAGTGTTCAGGGAATCAATAGTATTTATTACAGAACTCCTGCCTTTCGACTCGTCATTTTTTACAGGTGTGACAAGGATATTTTTCGAATTTTTGAAATGCATTAAACCAGCAATTGCACCTGTAACTGCAGACACTACAAATAGTATCCACTTTGCCGTAAAAACAATTTGAATCATCTTGAATGCAGATTTAATCTGATCAACATATTCGTCACCCAAATCTGCACCCTATAAGAAATAAGATGTTAGATCACAAGATCTGAAACGCTTATAAGTAGGTACTTCAAATATTTTCAAAACTAGAAAATAATACGAGGGTGGATTGATAAGTTTCCGGCCTGACCAAGAAAAACAAGGTTTTTAAAAATTTTTTTTTTTTATTTCTCAACATAATCTCCTCCAAGGCTGATACATTTCTCATAGCGGTGTTCCAGTCTATTAATGCCATCTCTATAGACTGATTCGTCAAGCTCCTCAAAATAACCATTTACAGCTTCGATTACTTCTTCATTGTCCGCAAATCTCTTACCGCCAAGCCATTTTTTGAGATTAGGGAACAGAAAATAGTCACTCGGGGCTAGGTCTGGAGAGTAAGGAGGGTGCGGCATCAATTCAAACTTTAGATCGTTGATTTTAGCCGTCGCAACGATTGACGTGTGCGCTGGTGCGTTATCGTGATGAAACAAGATTTTTTTCTTCGCCAGATGAGGTCGTTTAATTTTCACCTCGTGGCTCAAACGTTGCAATAAGTCTGCGTAGTATTGACCAGTGATAGTATTACCCTTTGCAAGGTAATCAATGTATATAATACCTCTTGCATCCCAAAAAACAGTAGCCATAACCTTGTTCGCCGAAAAAATTGTTTTTGCCTTCTTTGGAGTTGGTTCCCCTGGTCCAATCCACTGTTTAGACTGTTCTTTGGTTTCAGGAGTGTAGTGGTGGACCCACGTTTCGTCAACGGTTACGAATCGACGCAAAAATTCGCTTGGATTACGCTTATACAATGACAAATTTGCGGTAGAAATGTTTTTTCGAATCAATTTTTGGTCGACTGTTAGCAAACGCGGCACCCATCTTGCACAGAGCTTTTCCATATGCAAATGTTGGTGCAAAATATGTTGCACACGTTCATATGACATCTTACAGGTCTCAGCTATCTCACGCACTTTCAATCTGCGGTCTCCCAGCACTATTTGATGAATTTTTTCGATCATATCTGGAGTTGTGACCTCAACGGGGCGTCCTGAGCGAGGCCCATCAGAGGTGCTCACACGACCCTTTTTAAACTCGGAAACCCACTGCTTAACGGTTGAATATGACGGGGAGGATGTCCCCAGTGTTGAGTCCATCTCTTTTTTAATTTCCTTCGGCGTTAACCCCTTCAAATAAAAGTATTTGATGACAGCACGATTTTCCTGCTTTTCCATTTTTACGAAAACCACAGAGGCGTCTTGTTCAGCGTGCTGTCAAACCTACACTAGCAAGGAGACCAGGCTGAAACTATAGCTACAAGCTATCCAAGGATGGTACTATAGAATGTCACCTCAAGGTAGGCCTAGTGGCGTCATCTCTTGGTTAGGCCGGAAACTTATCAATCCACCCTCGTATTTAAAAGAAATAAAAAAATTTGTTAGATACATTAACCTCTCTTCACAAGTTACAAGTACAGAGAAAGCTACAGTCCTGATACTAACTTAGAACCCAAGCAGTAACAATATTCCTTATTGTTAATTTTTTTAGAATGATGTTCGCTGTTGTCATCAAATAGGTAATAACCAAACGTTGATTTATAGAAAATTTTAGAAATAAAGAGAGCTATGAACGTAATCAACTGATATTTCAGATGCAAAAAGCAGTCATCAATTATAGAACAAAAATAATTAATTAAAACAATCGAAAGTACCAGCGGATTCTAAAAAATTAGCCCAATAAAATTATGAAAAAAATTAAGTGTTTTTATCAGAGTAAGCAATAATTTTTAACTACATCACTTCGTTTCTGCAAATTTTTATTCAAACTAATTTGACAACTGTTGCGATTATCGAAGACTGTAATATTTTTAGGTAATTTAAATGAATTTTTTCAGCTAGCAGTGTAAAATGTTAAAAATTTTTTAGACCCTTATAAAGTAATCACTTTGAATATAAGTAAATAAGTATATAGTGCGTTAAAAAAGACATACACGACATTAAAAATAGAAAGATAATATTTCTTTTACCTCTTCTACCCAAAACACAGGCAATATTGTAGTGGGCAAATTTTTCATAAAACTAATTTTCGGTATCGGTTCTAAGGGCATACTGAACTGCAGCCTTTTTCTTGCTCCTAGGGGTGTTCCTGTCATCTGAAATAAAAGAAAATAGAAATTAGAAATGGCTGAGTTTTGGTATCTAGGAAGTCAGACAACTTGAAATGGAAGGAGCAGTGAAATATAAAAAACAGAGGACAGCGCAGGGTTGAGTCGTTTTCAATAGAAAGAAGTCACTTTCTTATTTTTCAGTTTGTTAACTACTTGATTTAAGGATATAGGCAAATTATTGATGTCTCATTATATGTAAAACAGCATATTAGCCACGGTTGATGTTACAAATATAAGTTTGGATAAACGAAATTTTTGCATTCTGTTTTACCACATGAATACATATTACACCAGTACGCACTTACAGGTTCAAAATACATATAAATTCCATGTTCCTCTTCGTTTGGATGTAATCCACGAACGCCATGAACGTAACTTTCATCAGACGCATAGAAATGCGGCAAGGATGCGTATAAGGGAGCACCAACGCACTTTGTTATTTCCATTAATCCTTTCTTTAAGCACTTATTAGGTTCAGGACAGTAACATTTCAAACTATCATCCGCAGACATATCCCCTAAAGTTGCAGTGTATTTGTTCACTTTGACTTCTTTAACAAACGTTTCTTTTTCGAAAACTGCGGCTAGTGATCTAAAAATTAATTGCTAAAATCCAATCAATAATCGTCAAGAGGAAACTAGCATCTTATATTCAACGACAAAATACATTATTTTATCATGTTCAATGGTGTTGTTTCTCATAACATATCTATATTGTGAAATAATTTTCCCATTTTATACTAATTATTTAATGTAAATGTTGATCGTTTATTNGAGGAAACTAGCATCTTACATATATTCAACGACAAAATACATTATTTAATTATGTTCAATGGTGTTGTTTCTCATAACATATCTATATCGTGAAATAATTTTCCCATTTTATACTAATTATTTAATGTAAATATTGATCGTTTATTGTTTTTTTAATAAATCTACAGATTAGTGTTCTATTCTATTTTCGATTAAATATAGGTCATATATTACAAGATTCGCTAAAGTGAATTGCGAGAAATCGATGCGCACCTCCTATAATAAAACTGAATACTTAATTGAGTATTGTGTAACGTAAAATTACATAAATATACTTATTTATTATTGATTGCTCAAACGGATAACTGAGATGTAAAACTAATAAATTATTCACAAAAATGCTTTCGTTACTAGTTACCCTGTCTTAAAGATATTACGTATTACATCAGTAGAAAATACCACAAATGGCGCGGTAAACGCCATCTGTAGTACGATGCTACATTTTAGGATTACGTATGCTCCAACAAGGTCCATTTAAATATATGGATATCTACTTGCTGAAACGAATCCCGGCGTAGCT